CATGACGCCTCTCGGAGCTCTCTTGGGGCCTCTTGGAGGCCGCCTGGGAACCTGGAGAGCCGTCGGAGGTCTGCTTGGGAGCGTCTTGGGCCGTCCTTCCGCGTTCTGGGGGCTCCTTGGGGGCGTCCTGGGGCGTTTTGGGCCTCCCTGGGAGGCCCGGAGGCGCGGTACCAGGAATTGCCCCCAGATGTTCTGGAGGTCGGGGACGCTCCCAGGGAGGGGGGGGGCGCATCTGTTTATTATTGTATGTATATATACATATATATATATATACATATATATATATACATATATATATATATATATATGTGTATGTGTGTGTGTCTACACACATGTGTGTCCCTCTCTCTGCCCCTCTACACCCTCCCCTGACAAGCACACACACACACACATACACCACAAACCCTCGCGTGCGCTCTCAAGATCTAGCTCCGGGAGCTTCGCGCGCGTCCTCCCTCGGCCTCCGGAGACCGAGAGATGTCTGCACATCGTCGTGCTTCGAGCTTCGAGGGGGCCGCTTTTGAGGCGCCGCTCCCGCCGTCCTCCACGGGTCGCGCTGCGCGTGTGCTCCCTCCTGGGCCCCTCCCGGCGCGGCCGCGCTCAGCAGTGGTCTGCCGCCGGGCCACGAGTGTGCCCGCCATCGCCCTGCCCAGTGGGAGCGCGCGTGCGCATCGCCTCGGCCGCGCTGCGGCGGAGGAGGTCGTCCTCCACCGCACACCCTCACGAGTGCACCGGGCCCTCGCGGCCACCTCTCTCACCCTTCCCGGAGGAGCAGGTTCGAGTAAGAACGGGAGGAGCAAAGCGACGAGGGCGTGGACTCCATGAGGACTCGCAGAGCTTCAGAGAAAGCGAAGCAGCGGAGGCTAAGAGTAATTCGGGATCGCCAGCAGGCTAGTACCTCGTGGGGCTCTTCGGCGAGAGGAGCTAAGAAATTCGGGCGCAGGGTGGAGCTCGTTGGCCGACCCGACCAAAACGGACAACGTGATGACATGGGCTTCAACTCTTGGAGGGTCAGGAAGAGGAGGGAGGACGCTCCGCTCCGCTGGGAGGGGCGGACGGAGGAGAGGCTGAGGGAGGAAGGGAGGACGGGGAGGGAGGAGGGACGGAGGAAGGGAGGGAGGGAGGGAGGAAGGAAGGAAAAGGAGGGGCTGAGGGAGGAAGGGAGGGGAGGGAGGAGGGAGGAGGCAGAAGCGAGGAGCGAAGAGGCAGGAGGGAGGAGTTGCGCAGACAAGCAGAGAGCCGTCTGCAGAGTAGGGAGAACGGAGCAGGAAGGAAACGAGAGCGGTTTGGCACGTCGTGGAGCTGTCACGGGAAGAAAGAGAGACAGGCGGAGTAGAGGAAGGGAAAGGAAGACGAGGAGGGGAATGACGCCTCTTGGCTGCCTTTGGGGAACTTTTGAGGCGGTCCTGGGACCTCCTGGACGCCTCTGGGGAGCATCTTGGGAAGTCTGGTGGACTCTCTTGGGCTGTCTTAGGTGCTCGTGGCCCGTCTGACGCCTTCGGAGGCCCTGCTGGAGACCCTTCTTGGCTGTCTAAGTGCGCTGTCGGCGCGTCTTGGAGCTGCCTGAGGCTGTGTTGAAATTCTCTTGGGGCCATCCTGGGTCCTTCTTGGGGCCCTCTTGGGAGTTTCTTGGGCCTTCTTGAGCTCATCTTGCAGGCCTGCTAGAGGGGGAGCGTAGGACGAGGTGGTGGGTCGAGGAAAGCAGAGACATGACGAGGGGGAGGAGGAGAAGGAGGAGGAGGAGGAGGAGGAGGAGGAGGAAGAGCAGGAAGAGGAGGAAGAGGAGGAGGAGGAGGAGAAGGAGGAGGAGGAGGATGAGGAGGAGGAGGAGGAGGAGGAGGAGAGGGAGAACCGGCTATTCGTCCTGAGTCGGGTTCTGGCAATGCCCAGGCCCGTGGAGGACCTAGGGAGGTAAAAAAACGGCGAAAACTATCAGGACATCTTCCCCTCAGGACTCGCTATGGCGATACATTCTTCGGTCGCCGATGCCAACATCGGGCCAGGAGCCAGGAGAGCTGCTTCTTGCTGGAAGATGCTGCGTGAAGCGTGGCGGCACGACCTTTTTCACAGCTCATTCGAACACTCGCGCAGACCGCTGCGCAAATGGATGATCCTTCCCAGCGCCCCCTCCACGAGGAAAACCATGGAGGCCCCGCGCGGCAACTCGAGACCGAGTTTACATCGGCTCCACGTCGGATCTCATTCAGATTCACGTCGGACGTACATCAAGCTCACGTCGGCCTCACGTCGGATGTACGTCGGAACATCACCGCACGAACGCCGTCCCAGATCTGGCGAGGCGGACGTGTGGACTCGACAATGTACAACTCCTGCGCGAGGCGCGAGGCCTCCGGGTTGGCGGCTTCTCTGGGGGTCTGAGCTGGATGCGCCCCGAGAAAATCGGCCCAGGACTGCCGGATATTATAGGGGGGGAAAGGCGCCCAAAATCTGCCCCCGGGCCCCCTCGGGAGTCCACCGCATGCAGTCTCTCGCCCTGGACACGCTGCTGACGGTCCCGGGGCCCGAAAACGGCCCCCGGAAGCCGGAAGGACGCAGAGAGCCTGCTCGAACCCAGGAACCTCGAACCTCGCCCCGCCTTCCCGCTCGCTGGATCCAAGGCTGGGCCACCTCAGACTCCCAGCCAGCTCCAAAATACAACTTACTCAGTTGTTCGCCGCGCGAGGCCTCCAGGATTCTAATCACGAACCACCCTGTCGGGGGCGGCCTTCACGGCTGCAGCCTGCCCCCCGGACGCAGCCAGGCGAGGGTGGCCTACTGGTAGGCGGACCGCAGGCACTCCGACCAGCGGTTGTACCCCTCGCGGTTCGGGTGCACCAGATCCGGGAACTCGAACGACCTGACCTTTGAAGGGAAACGATTGGGGGGGATAGGCACAGGGGGGGAATCGGCGATGCATCGCCCACTGATCGGCGATAGGCACACGATAACGAATCCACACCTCCCTGGGCGGGCTGGGGCTGTCGGGCCCCATCGGACCTGTCGGCGATCAATGGGTCGATGCGTCCCCCCCTATGCCCATCCCCCCCTATCGTTGCCCACGACCTTACCCTTCGGCTTGATGAGGAAGCTGCACCGGCGGCACGCCAAGGGGGGGAGCTTGGGCGTTTCGGATCCGAGGTTCGAGGTCTTCGGGCGTCTTCGCGGGTTCTCAGCGCTCTACCGGCCTCGGGATGCGTGCCAGCGGCTGCGCCTCGCCGAGAGCGAGTCCCAGGGGTCCCGGATCGTCCCGGACGGCCGCCAGAGACCCGAGCTGTGACCCAAAATCTAGACGACGAGGACCTGTTTGGAGGGGGCAGGCCTTCTGAGAGGCGACGGGGCTTCTGAGAAGCCCTCCAGCAGTCTGAGAAGCAGTCTATGTTGGGAAGCACAGAGACATGCAAAAACTATGATACCAGAGAAAAAAATCATCATAGTCTTTTCAGGCCTACGGGGCTATAGGGCTATAGGGCTATAGGGCTATGGGGCTATGGGGCTATAGGGTAGGGCTGTAGGGCTCCTAGGGCTATAGGGCTATAGGGCTATGGGGCTGTAGGGTTATAGAGCTATAGGGCTCTAGAGCTATAAGGCTATAGGGCTATAAAGAAATAGGGCTATAGGGTTATTAGGCTATAAGGCTATACGGCTATATGGTTATAGGGCTATTGGGCTATAGGGTTATAGGGCTATTAGGGCCATAGTGTTATAGGGCTATTAGGGTTATAGGGCTCTAGGGCTATATGGCTAGTGGAGTTACAGGGCTATAGGGCTATTAGGGCTATAGGGCTATAGGGCTATAGGGCTATAGGGCTGTAGGTATACAGGGCTATAGGGCTGTAGGGCTAAGGGCTACAGGACTATAGGGCTATTAGGGCTATTAGGGCTATAGGGCTATAGGGCTATAGGGCTACAGGGCGATAGGGCTATAGGGCCACAGGGCTCTTGGGCTATAGGGCAATAGGGCTATAAGGCTGTAGGGCTATAGGGCTATATAGGGCTATAGCGGGCACCCGGGCACCCGGGCACCCCGGGGCACCCGGGCACCCAGGCACCTGGGCCGGCCACCGAAACCGGCGACGTAGGTCACCTACACATATGAATCCGCTAGGATCGACCCCTATAGAGGCAAGCTCTGATTGGGGAATATGGCCTCCTCGGAGGCGGGCGTCCGACCCGAACATATAGTAAACCCATATTGTCGTATACCGTTTCCCAAGCGGTGTGGCCAGAAAGCGCCCGCCACGACGCATCTTACATAAGATTTCTCAGTGCGCGCGGCGCCCCTGAGGGGGCGACGCGCATATAGTAAAAGGATGTTGGGTTGACGCCAATGTGTATTCGGAGACGGTTTGGCAAGCTTCTCGGGAGCCGGAGACCTTCTGAACCCTCTGAGGAGGCCCCCGCTGCCGTCCCCTGGACTCAGGTCGGGCACGTCTCCTGCAGGCGAACTTTGGAAGAAAAATTGGAAATAGGCAAACAATGCCCAAACAGAGTCAAAAATAGTCGGAAAATCGCCCCCAGAAAATACGTTGACTACAGTCGGGGTAATCGAAGAGGATACGCGAGACGACACGAGACTCTTCCGAGGGCCGCATTGCCACATGAGTGTAGCAGCACGGATCGCGAGGCACAGGACAGAAGGGCACCCTTGATTTGGCAAGGGGTCGACCTACCAATCAGCCTCGACTGCATTGTTGAATATTCCTCTTATGGAGCGACACTCCCGACTCCTCACCCTGGAAAAAAAAAATGCCCAAACATCATCAAAAATAGTCGAGGAATCGTCCCCAGGGTGCAGTGCACGCGGATCATGCATTAAGAACTAAAAACAACGGTGAGTTCATGCATAAATTCATTCATAAATTAATCATGGATCAAAAATTCAATATTTTGACAAAAATCCGATGTATCAAAAACTGCCCTGTAATGCTGCCTATTGCTAAGTGCTCCTCCTGTGGAGAGGCACGCCCGACTCGGAGGCCCGGGGCGCGCCCTGGGCGCGCCGCCGCCCTCGTGCAGTCCAGGGCCCCCACGTCGTGGCCCGCGGCGCCGTGCTCGGACGCCAGGCGGCCGATCATCCTGTCTGGCCGCGACCGCCCCTCCCCCTCGATCCTCGATCCTCCTCGATCCTCTTCCTCGACCCCCCATCGATCGATCCTCCTCCTCGATCCACCTCGATTCCCCTCGACGTCTCGAAAAGCTGCCCCCCAGCCTGCCTCGACGTCTCGAAGCTCCGCCTTGCGCGGACCACACGGAGAATCCTGTCGGGCCGCGACCGAATCAAAGTCGGGCGTTGGCAGCACTGGGTTTAACGGAACCTGGCTTAGTGATCTGTACCGGGGGCGCCCCCCCAGCCCCACTTCCACTAACCGGAACTGCCGTCACCCGAAAAACACCAGTTACGGCACACTGGGTTTAACGGAACCTGGTTTAGTGATCTGTACCGGGGGCGCCCCCCCAGCCCCACTTCCACTAACCGGAACTGCCGTCACCCGAAAAACACCAGTTGCGGCAAACCGGAGGCGCTGAGCTCGGACGCCAGGCGGCCGATCCTCCTTGGCGGTGCGCACAACGGGGTGGAGGGAGGGGGGGGGCTTCTTAGAAGGAGGCTGCCTCCTAGAAGGCGCCGGCCTTACATCTAAAGATACGGCCCGCGCCCTCTAAGAAGCAGGGGTGCTTCTAAGAAGCCCTCCCCCCTCCCCCCACCCCCCTCTGCGCGTGGCTGACATCCTGTCTGGCCGCGACCGAATCTCGGGTCGGGCGAAAGGGGGGGATAGCAAAGGGGGGGTTTGAGAATCAGCTCACGTGGCTGATTTTCCCGGCGCCTCCCGGCGCCGGAGGCGGCTATGTATCTCGAGGACTGGGCCCCTCGGTGGGGCCGAAACCAGCTGCATGCAGCAGAGTTCGTAACCCCCCCTTTCCCAATCCACCCCTTTCATCCGGCCCGAGACTCAAAGGGGCCCAGGGACGTACAGGGAAACACGCACACACACACACACACACACACACACACACACACACGCGCACACAAATCCCCGGGTTCCCCATCTCTTCCCCCGTCTTCTGGGCTGCCGTCTTCCCCCCCACTGCCCACAGTTTCCCCATGTTCTCGTGGGAGCCGGCGATTCATCGTGTCTTTGTGCTTCTTCCCCGCCCGACACACGGGGCGGCGACCGAAAAGGGGTCCTACGCGAGATGGCGCAGCGACCTTACGCGGTGGCTCACGCGGGCCGCCGGCGCGGCACGCCATCTCGGAAGCGAAGGGCGCTTGCACGCGAGCGTACGCGGGCAGCCCACGCGCCATGCGTCGGCGCAGACGACCCCTTTTTTGCGTCGCCCCAATGGGGGGCGATAAAAGGGGAAGAGGCGGGGCGCAGAGAGGGCTGCAGAAGAGGGGCCCCTTCGGGCCCCTCGAGGGAGCCCTGCTGGGCCCGGAAGGGGGGGGGGGGCTCTGGGGCCCGAAACTGGCACACCTTTCTCCCCCCCTCATCCAGGAAGCAACTACTGGGAGGTCTTCGCCGGAAGGATTATAGAGAGGAATAAGCCCCAGGGGGGGGCTGTTGCGCCGGAGTGGGCCTCGGACTAAGCCTGGCTGAGCCGGATTAGGCGAGATCAAACGGGACTAAGCCAGATTAAGCGAGATTAAGCCGGATTAAGCCGGATTCCAGACAAGGGCAGAATCAGGATTTGACCTCCCAGGAGTTGCATCCGAACCTCACCTGCCGCCCCCCGATGAACTCGCGCCCAAGCCTGTTCAACTCGCTCACCGGCCAGAAGAGCACAGCGCAGGCCGGGTCCGAGTCTGGGTCGATCTCGCGCGGGTGCAGGCTCCCCGCACTGGGGCACGCCGCCCACCTCAGGCTGGACGGTTTCCCCCAGGGCGGTAGGCGACCCGAGGAGGAGGAGGAGGAGGAGGAGGAGGAGGAGGAGGACGGGGCGGAGGAGAAGGAGGAGGAGGAGGAGGACGGGTCGCCCAAGCCCTTCGGAGAAACCCTACACCTCAGGCTCGTCAAGCCCTGCGGCTTCGGGGCACGGCGCTCGCCTATGCCGCGGAAGCCGCGCGGCATGATCAGCTGCAGCGTCAGCTGGGCATCCGGCCGCAGGCCGAGGAGCTCGCCCACGAGCTGGCGGTAGGACTCCCCCGCCTCTGCGGGGGCGGCTCCCGTGCCGAGGTCGTTGGTGCCCAGGAGGACGTGCACGGCCCGTGGAGCGCACTGCTTCACGGCCTCGCCTGCACGGTTTCCCCCGGGGCCGTGGGCGACCCGAGGAGGGGGAGGAGGAGGAGGAGGAGGAGGAGGAGGAGGAGGAGGAGGAGGAGGAGGAGGAGGAGGAGGAGGAGGGGGAGGAGGAGCTGGAGGAGGAGGAGGAGGAGGAGGAGGAAAAGAAGGAAGTGGAGGAGGAGGACAAGGAGGAGGAGGAGGAAAAGGAGGAGGACGGGTCGAAAAAGCCCTTCGGAGAAGCACCCGGGCCTCGCCTAGGCCTCCCGCGCGGAGGCGCCAGAGCATGTCGGTGGTCTTGTCTCCGCCGATGGCGGCCACCGCGACGCGCCGCTGGGGCCCAAAGGCAGCCAGAAGGTCTCCGCCGTCTCGCTGCTTCTCCGCCACGGTGTACTCCATGGCGGTATCCGCCCCCGTGCCGTCGGGAGCCCGGTGGAGTGTCAGCAGGTCCCCTCGAAGTCTGTGATGAGCACAGCGAGTACGCCCGTGAATGGGCCCCAGAGGCGGATCTCTTGGGGCAGCTCGCATGGCTTTCGGAGCAGGACCAGAGAGCGGCGAGACTGGCGAAGTGCCAGAGGGTCCCAAGAGGCCACCTCGTCGGTCCGAGAGGGTCCCCCAGAGGTCGGCCCAGGGGCGCCACAAGACGCCCAAGATGCCCTCCAGGCAGCCCCAGAGGCCAACCAGACTCCCCGAGAGGGCCCCAAGCGGCCTCCACAAGAGCGCTCCGAGGCAAGGAGGGCCTTTCGTAATGGGGTCGCCAAAAATGACTGCGATTGCTCATCCTTTGGCTCATGGCACGTAGCCTCTCTCACGGAGCAGCGACGACAAAAACGCAACGCATCCTGCCCGCATCCAGCACGATCCAGCAAGAACGACTGCACGAACTATTGCGCACATGCTTGAGATCCCCTTTGCAAAGGATCCGCTGGCCCGAATCTGAAATGCTTCCCCCTGTACAGCCCATCTGGGTCCACAACCGCGCGTTTCGGGAGCGGCCCAGAGGGGGGCGTCCAAGTGGAGGGGGCGCAGATCATGGCCGGCGGCACGTGCGCGGCCCAGGGGGGGGGCCAGGAACGTGATGAAAAAAGAAGAGGCGTCATGAAATCTGGGACGGCCCCCGCCATAACGTCCACCCCCCCCCCAATCATCACCCTCCTCATGGCCGCCCCCGAGCGTCTGAGGGGGTTGTCGCCAGCCGCCCCCCCCCCCCCCCCAGCAGGAACTCGCCTGGGGGGCCTTCGGCTCCCAGGACGGTTTCAGAGGCGCTCAAGACGGCCGAAGGCACTCCAAAGACGGCCCCAGAGAGGTCCAACTGGGCTCGAGGACGGCCCCAGGGTGTTTCAAAAAGAGCTCGAGACCTCCCAAGAGCGTTCGAGGATGGCTTCAGATGGCCTCAAGAAGCTCCTCGATTGCTCCAAGACTGCCCAAGACGCTTTCAAACGAACTCCCAAAAGGGATCGAGGAAAGCAAAAGTATGAACTTCCTCCGGGAAACTTGCATGTTTAGCATCTCCGCGTTTTGAGTCTTGCAAGCGTCCAAGACGGCCCCAGGGAGGTCCCCAAGATCGCCCCATGACGGCCCAAAATGCTCCCAAAACGGCCCCATGACATCCCCGGAGAGCTCCACAACGGCCCAAGAGAGCCCGAAGAGAGCCCAAGACGGCCCCAAGAAACCTCCAAAATAGCCCCAGAATGATCATAGCCTAGGACACGCCCAAAGAGGGCCCGACACGGCCCAAAAGGGCTCCAAATCGACCTGAGTCCTCTAGGACCGCCCCTAACGAGGCCTCAGGACCGCTCAACAGCGCCCCGAAAGCTCCCGCAATGGACACCCAAGAAGGGTCCGAGAAGCTAAATTCGCGTATGTTCGGAATTGGTTCGCCGAATTCTGGCACACGACGGCACAACGACGGACACAGCTTCGACGCCGAGGCCCCCGCCCGCAGACAGCCCCGGACGCCCGCAGGAGAGCCGCCAGGCCTCCCCCAAGGGTCGGCGGATGCTGCACCAGACGTTAGAATCACTGCTGTTCCTACATATTTTGAAAAAGGTTTTAGAGTGTTCGTTGTTTCTAGCTTCTGACGCTCCAAGACGAGCCAAGAAAGAAGCTCTCAAGATCGCCTCAAGGGGCCCCAAAAAAGGCCCCACAGAGGGCCCCAGGGCGGCCCAAGAGCGTCCCAGGACGGCCCAGGAGGGCCGCAAGACGGCCCAAGAGGCCTCCACAAGCGCCCCAAGAGGGGCCCAAGAGGAGAAAACCGAAGGGGCCTCGTGCGCCGGTTACCCAAAATTGCCCCCGAGAGTCCCAACATGCCCCCAAGAGCCCCCCAGAAGGGCCCAAGAGGCTCCAAGAGGCCCTAACAGACCCCTCAAGAGGCCAATCAAGAGGCCCCCGAGAGGTACCCCAAGAGACCCCAACAGGCATCCAAGAGGCCTCGTCCACAACCAGGCACGGTGGCGGATTTGGTCGAAGCCCACCATAAAATTCGAGTCATCCGACGCCAGGCCCGGCCGCAGCCACCGCTCGGTGATCGAGTCGCCCAGCAGCAGCACGTCCAGCGGGCCCGATGCGCACGTTGCCCTCATGCCATCGAGATCCGCCTGGTTCCGCAGCTCCCACTCCTGGCGCTTGGTCTCGCTCAGGTCCTCCCGCGGACAGCGCGAGGCCGCCTGTCGCAGGGGGGGGGCCACCCGAGGCAGCGGCGGGGGCTTCCTGGCTCTCCCCGGGCCCGTCCGGACCCGACTTTCGAGGCGGCTCCGGCCGTGGCGACGAGAAGCCTCTGGGAGGCCTGGAACCAGCTGTTCTAGCTTTCTGAGCTGTGTTGTCGAAGGTCCTGGGGACGACGACGACAACGACGACAACGACGACGACGACGACTACGCCGCCGACACCAACGACGTCGCCACCGCCGCCGCCGCCGACGACGACGACGACGCCGTCGACGCCGCCGCCGCCGCCTGACGACGACGACGACGTCGACGACGACGACGACGACGACGACGACGACGACGACAATGAGCTGCGCCGCGACCCCGCGCCGCGGTTCCGCGCTCGGAAGGCTGGCGTCCCAGACGCGGCGGGAGCTTCCCGGAAACCCCGGCCCACTCCACAGCACCGGCTTCCCGCCCCGAGGTCGCTTCTTGACGGCCACGGGCCCGGCGGGGCCCCCATGGAGGCCGACGAGGGCCCCGGGCACCCCGCCGTGACGCCTGGGCACCCTGGCGCCTCGCGAGAACATCGGAACGGAAGCTGCTCCTCGACCTCGGCCTCTCGGGGCCTTCCCCGGGCCTCGGGGCCGTCAAAAAAGCAGCTCGGGGCGAGAAAAACCAGTCCGAGGGAGGTGGTCGAGAGGTGCCCAGGTATGCGACGTCCTGATCTTTTCAAGACGGCGTCCCTGGAAGTCCCGGCCCTGTCAGCGGGACCGGTTTGTCGTCCTGAGTCGTGTTTTGACGGTCCCGAGGCCTGGCGAGGGCCCCTCCTGGCCGAAAGTAGCCAAAAACCTCCCGTCCTGATTTTCTGTTTGACGCGATCCTGTCTGGGGGGAGAGAGGTCGGGGGCCCGCGTCTCGAAAACATCGAGGCGCAGGACGCACAGACTCTCTTCTGCGGCGCGGCCATGTCTGGGGAGGAGCGCCAGCGCCGGGCCACCCCGCCGCCTCGGCTGGCCCCCCTCCGAGTCTGTGGCGCTGCTGGCGCCAGCAGCCCGCTGGTGGGGGGGGCAACGATAGGGGAAGGTCGGGCATGTCCTCCTACAGGGGGATTTTGGACGAAAGATGAAAAATAGTCAAAAATACTCCAACATTGTCAGAAAAAAATAAGCATAGGGGAGAGCACTTCGAGGCTGGAAAGCCGCCGCGGAGACACGAAAACGCCCAAAACCCAGAGCCTGGAACCCAAAACCTTAAGAATGTCCCCCCCAATGTATGCCTATCCCCCCAATCGTTGCTCCTGAGCTGGGCGGCACCGCGCGAAGGGCACCACAGGCCGACGGAGCGGAGGCGAACAGAGCCAGGCAGAGGCGGGCGCCCACCGCGCCCGCCTGGAGCCGAGGCACGGCGGCTGTCATGGCGGTCGCATGCAGCAAGATACTGAGAGGCCTCCCAGGTGGACTCGCCTCCTCCTCCTGCTCCTCCTCCTGCTCCTCCTCCTCCTCCTCCTCCTCCTCCTCCTCCTTCTCCTCCTCCTCCTAATCCTCATCCTCATCCTTCTCCTGCTGCTCCTCCTCCTCCTCCTCTCCTCCTGCTGCTCCTTCTCCGCTTCCTCCTCCTCCTCCTACTCCTCCCTCCTCCTCCTCCTCCTCCTCCTCCTCCTCCTCCTCCTCCTCCTCCTCCTCCTCCTCCTCCTCCTCCTCCTCCTCCTCCTCCTCCTCCTCCTCCTCCTCCATTCCTTCTCCTTATAGATAATTCCTCCTCGTCGCACCCCGAGGCCAGTTTGTAAGTCGGGCCGGGCGTTTCGTGTGAGATTGATTTCCTCACCATTTATGACTCTGAAGCATAAAACATGACAACAGGTTCACAGCTGGAGGACGGGTGGTTCTCAAAATGTGGCTCTCGCCTTAGCGCCGCGCACATTCGTTCTAGAAATTTGCAAGGGCTTCACGCGGATTGGGGGCGGGTCGTTTTCAAAATGTGGCTCTCGCCTTAGCGCCGCGCACATTCGTTTTTTTAAATTGCACAGAGTTTCACGGATTCCCATGATCAGAAATGGCGTTTTGGAAGGATTCAGGACAATGCGGGCGCAATAATTATGTTGATTCGCGGTGTTGAAGTCCCAAAAACGGCGTTCTGGTACGATTCTGAATCGTCAAGACGCAGCAGTCAGGTTGATACGTGGCGTTGAAATCACGAGAACCATGTTTTGGCACGCTTCAGGATCTTCAAGCTGTTGTCTTCCAACGAGGCAATTCCCTCAATGAAAATGAACCGTCGTAGGGGCCCATGAAGAGGGAGCAGGGAGGGAGGGTTAATTCCAACATCGTTGATGACTCTTGGGTTTCCACTGGCCCTCCTCCTCCTCCTCCTCCTCCGCCTCCTCCTCCTGCTCCTGCTCCTCCTGCTCCTGGTCCTGCTTCTGCTCCTCCTCCTCCTCCTCCTGCTCCTCCTCATGTTTCTGCTCCTGTGTTTGCTCCTGGTCCTGCTTTTGCTTCTGCTTATGCTTCTGTTGCTGCTCCTGCTCCTGGTCGTGCTTCTCCTCCTCCTCATCCTCCTCCTTCTCCTCCTCCTCCTCCTCTTCCTGCTCTTGGTTCTGCTGCTCCTCCCCATCCTCCTCTTCCTCCTCCTCCTCCTCCTGCTCCTCCTCCTCCTCCTCCTGCTGCTCCTGCTCCTGCTCCTGTTCCTGTTCCTGCTCCTGCTCCTGCTCCTGCTCCTGCTCCTGCTCCTGCTCCTCCTCCTGCTCCTCCTCCTCCTCCTCTTCCTCCTCCTCCTCCTCCTCCTCGTCCTGCTCCTCCTCCTCATCCTGCTCCCCCTCCTTTTCTTCCTCCTCCGCTTCCATTCTTTCCTCCTCCGCCTCCTCCTCCTTCTGCGTCCTCATTCGTCCTTCTCATCCTCATCCTCCTCCTCCTGCTCCTCCTCCTCAGCATCATCATCATCATCCTCCTTCTCCTCAGCCCACCTCATTATCCTCCTCCGCCTCCTCATCCTCCTCGGCCTCCTCATCCTCCTCCTCCTCCTACTCCTCCTCCTCCTCCTCCTCTTCCTCCTCCTCTTCCACCTCCTCCTCTTCCTCATAATCCTCGTCTTCTTACGATTCGTCTTCTTAGCATCAGCATCAGCATCAGCATCAGCATCAGCATCAGCATCAGCATCAGCATCAGCATCATCATCATCATCATCATCATCATCATCATCATCATCATCAGCAGCAGCAGCATCAGCATCATCATCATCATCAGCATCAGCAGCATCAGCATCATCATCATCAGCATCATCAGCCGCATCAGCATCAGCATCATCATCATCAGAATCATCAACATCATCAGCATCATCATCAGCATCAGCATCATCATCATCAGCATCATCAGCATCAGCACCATCAGCACCATCATCACCATCATCATCATCATCATCAGCAGCACCATCATCATCATCATCATCATCATCATCAGCAGCAGCATCAGCATCAGCATCATCATCATCAGCATCAGCATCAGCATCAGCATCAGCATCATCATCCCCAATATCATCATCATCCACCTCCTCCTCCTCCTACTCCTCCTCCTCCTCCGACTCCACCTCCTCATCGGCATGATCATCATCCTCCGACTCCTCCTCCTCCGACTCCCCCCCCGTTTCCTCTTTGTATGTTTAATGCTGTTCGTGCTCGCCTTAGTCGTCGCATGAGTCTTCGTAGTATTATGCGTAGTATGAAGCGTAGCAGCCGTAGTATGATTATTCGTACCAGTGCTGAAAGTATTAGTCGTGGCCACCTTCGTGGTATGATGTGCGTTCGGCGTATTGGTCGTCTGCTTCGTCGTGTTACTAGTCGTCGTGAAAGTCTGAATGGTCTTCTTAGTACGCAAATCAGTCGTTGTATTAGTCTTGGTCGCATCCGTAGTGTTGTAATATAGTCGTCTGGTACGTCTTCACCGCATTCGTAGTAGTATTAGTATGTCTTGTTCTTCGTCGTAACCATATTATTAATATTAGTCGTCGTCGTATTCTTCTTGGCCGTAGTATTAGTAGTCAGAGTCTGCGTATGGTTCCTCTTAGCCACATTCGTGGAACTCGCCTGGGACATCGTCTTTGTATGATGGGTATGCTTCTTATCAGTCGTCGTGTTAGTGTTCTTCTTCGTCGTAGTCTTTGTGTTATTATTATGCGTCTTCGTAGCAGTTGAACAATTATTAGTAGGGTTCGTTGGGTTCGCTTTCGTCTTCTTTGTATTCGTATTATCTTGCAGAGCCGTATTAGTATGCTTCGTACTCGCATTGCTAGTCGCAGTAATATGATTATTACTCGTAGTAGTACCATGCTGAGTACCAGTATGCCGCCGTAGGATTATTGTTCGTGCCAGTATGACTATTAACCGTTCTCCACTACACGAAAGATTAGCATTATGATTAGTATTCGTGTTCGTCGGATTACACGACTGCTCCAAGCAGTATTACTATTATCCGGTTTCCTCCTCCTCATCCTCCTCCTGATCATCAGCATCTTCCTCACAACCCTCCTCCTCCTACCCCTCCTCCTCCTCCTCCTCCTCTTCACCCACTCGTTCTCCTCGTAGCTAATTTCTCACTGTCGCACCCCGAGGCCAGTTTTTAGGGCGGGCTGGGCGTTTCGCCTACGACTTCCTCACCACTTATGACCCTGAAGCTTAAAGAATGACAACAGTTTCATAGATGGAGGGCGGGTCGCTTTCAAAATGTGGTTATCGTCGTACCGCCGCGCACATTCGTTTCAAAAAGTTGCACGGGTTTCACGGATTGAGGGCCGCTCCTTTTCAAAATGTGGTTCTCGCCATACCGCCGCGCACATCGTTTTAAAAAATTGAAAGAACTTCACGGGCAGAGGGCGGGTCGTTTTCAAAATGTGGCTCTCGCCTTAGCGCCGCGCACATTTCTTAAGAATTTGCAAGAGGTTCACATA